TCACGAAAGTACATCAGTGACACCAGCTTTCGCAAACTTTGGAAGAGAATTACGGCTGCCCGCAGACCTGATCACCGGGATACCACCTGATGCCCCACGCAGTATAACCGATTATGCAAATGACTTGCGGAACAAAATGAATGACATTTATGAGCACGTCAGACAATCGGGCCAGCAAATGTCCGAAAAGATGAAAACCCGGTATGACCGCAAAATGAACAACAAAGGGTTCGACGAAGGTTCACTAGTGTGGTTGCACAATCCAGTCCGCAGCAAAGGGAAATCTCCTAAGCTTCAAGCTAAATGGGACGGCCCGTACTGGATTGTGACCAGGATCAACGATGTAACCTACCGGATACAAAAAGGCGCAGGAGAAAGCGCAAGGCGCGTTATTATGGGGCCATCGGCCCTAAGACATGCTCGGGACGAGTTACTAAGCTAAGACTAATGCTGTTTGTTATGGCGAATGTAAAGATAGGAAACGAGGCATTTTATCTTGTGTATTTTGTCTCAGTGGTGATAATGCATCTACATTTTACTTTTTAATCGAGGTTAGATGTGGATGTGTGATCTACATCATCCCCTTACCACTCAAAGGGGTTAAAAATCGGGGCTATAATTCGTCTATACAGCAACATCTTAGCACGGAGTTCTAAATTAAAAATTATTTCACTGTTTTTAGTTCTTTGAAGTTGGCTTTTATTTTATTTTGTTTGGTAATTTTATTGAGACGAGACAATAAAAGAGTTAATTAATATTTGTGAGTTTGAAAAAACGAAACTTGGTTTGTTAAACGACATAATCAGTCCATTCCTCTGACTGGATTAGCCGTTTTTTAACAAACATTTTTTTTATAGGATAGGGTGACAAACGAGCACACATTTCACCTGATTCTAAGTGGTTGCTGCGGCTCATAGACATATACAACTGTTTCGGACGGCAGGGACACGTCCAGTGCCAGCAGTCACCCTGGGACAATCTCCCACTTGATGACGTACGTTCCTTGCTTGGTGCTGGTGACGCACGTCCCACGCACCCCTGAATGCGTATGTATAATACGACCCCTCTGGGACCTCGAGAGAGAGAGAGATAGACGATCAGCCGGGAGGAGGCAATTAAAACACTTTTTTTCCTAGGTAGCTTCTTGTTCCTTAGGTTTCGGCTTCCTTTTTCCTTGTTGTTGTAGCCTCTTCGACGGCTGTGCTGCGACTGCGATTTGAGCTACGCTGTTGTCTTCTGCATGGGCTATCTGCCCAGCAGGTATTGGGCCTCGGGGTATACCCCCTTTACCCGGATATTCCTCACGACACACTACAGTGTGCCGGTCCTGGGTGCCTTTGGTGGTAAAAGGCGTTATAATGTAAATAGCGACTTTTCGTCGCAGTCGGGTAATTTGTCAAGAAAAGGAGGTTATCTCAATATTTGTGTTTTACACAAATATTATGTCTAGGTTGGCCTTTCTGCGGCATTGTCGGATTTACTCAACTCCCTAATCTTACATAGATTCCCTACATGGGAGGTGTTCTCTTGGATAGGGTCGCCCGTCCGGGGGTCGTGAGTGCAACAGCGCCAAGCCGTTGAGGTGTTCATGTGGCCCGTTGTCGGCGCGGTCGAACATACCGCGCGCCAGCCGGACCACGAATTCTTGCAGGCTCTCTATCTTTAGGTTGGCCGCTATGACGTCATTCCGGACGTATCGACCCGCACCGACTATGGTTCGTAATGACAAGTTTTGCTGGGCCTGTAGTCGCCGCTTCTGTTGATCGCTCAGGAGCGCATACCAGGCCGGAGCAGCGTATGTTAGCAAGGGTCTTATATATGTTTTATAGATGGTTAACTTCGACTTTGTCGGTAACTTGAATGCTAGGACAGGACGGAGCATCGCCCGCGCACATCGAGCTTTGCGGACAACAAAGTCGACGTGCGCAGTCAGGCGCAACATTCTGTCAATCCGACATCCAAAGTAGGTCACGGCCTTCTCATATGCGATCTCCTGGCCTGGTTAGCGGTGATGGTAGGTTTCTATAGCGGCGAGTGAGCAGAGCGGTCGTCTTGCTAACATTAACGGCCATCCTCCACTCATCCAACCATGGTGGCAGCGGGTCCAGCAGACGTTGCATCCTGGCAGTGGCGATATGGGCTCTTCTGGATGAGGTGAAGTAGGCGCTGTCATCCGCGTAAAGCGCCAGTTCGACGTCGTCCTCCCATTCGTGCAGATGCCCTGCCAGGGTAGGCATGTCATTGGTGTAAGCCGCGTACAGGACTGGAGACAGACAGCTGCCCTGTGGCACACCAGCTGTTATTGGTTTTATTGCGAACTCAGCGCCCTCTAAACAGACGTAGAACTTGATGTCTACGAGGAAAGACGCCATCAGCCGCAATATAGCAGGAGGGACACTGGTCTGATCGTCTAATGTAACTTGTAGAGTAGTCCTGTGTGCCACACCCTGTCGAACGCCTTCTCGATGTCGAGAAAGACGCCCAACGATGTGCGGCCGCGGTTGTGCTCGGCCGCAAGCAGGTGTAGCACTCTGGTCAGCTGTTGAGTGGTCCCTCCTGAATCCATGCTGCTCCGCCCGAAGTTGGATGCACGGGCGGAGACGCCTGAGCAGTATTCTTTCGAACAGCTTAGCTATATGCGGTAGCAGCGTGATCGGCCTGTAGCTGGCAGCTCTACGCCTGTCCTTCCCGGGTTTCGGCAAGACGATGATTTTGCCTTGCTTCCAGTCCTCCGGGAAGTGGGATGTCCGCAATATGCCATTGTAGAGTCGACCTATCTCTACAAGGACTCTATTGGGCAGCTATCGTAGTGCAGTGTTGGTAGCCCCATCGTGCCCGGGCGCCTTCCTCGGTTGCAGGCGGGTTGCTGACCTCCGCAGTTCAGCGGGGGAGATAAACCACTCTCCAGCAAGCGGTGACGCGGGCGACGACAGGAAATCCTGCACGCGGCTCTCCTTCCGGGTGTGTATTTCCATGAACTCCGCACTTGCTGGGTTCGGCATAAACTGCTCCTCGAAGTGCTCAGCTAGGATATCCGATCTGCCCTTGGCATCATAATGTTATTCACCCGCGTTGTTGGTCAGCAGGCAAACAAGTGGTCGGATTTTCGTTAACTGCTGGTTCAATGTGTAGAGCGACGCTTGATGTTCGTCAGCCATCCAAATGCGCCGCTCCCAGGCCTCTACTCTGTGGGTCTGTATTGCAACCGACAATTCGTCCGTTAGGGTGTTAAGTTTCGTTTTTATTCTGGGACAGCGAGTGCGCGCCCAGAGCTTTCTCAGCGCTCTTTTATGTCTCAGCTGCACGCGTATGTTTAGCGGCAGCTCTTCCTTTTTTCCAGAGAGAGGGACGTTCGTAGAGGCCGTGTTGAGGGCCTCCTGGATGCTCGTGGTTATTCTGGTAGCAGCGGCCTCTACGTCGTCCGCTGAGTGGATCGGTGCGTGGACTGGAGGTCTCTCCTGCAGGTGTTGGTGGTAGAGCCTCCAGTCGATCTTGGTCTTAACGGCTCTGGGCGGCGAAGTCACTGCCTTAGTGCCAAGGGTAATCAGAATCGAGAGGTGCTGTGTATTTAAGTCGTACAGCACCTCTACCACTACCGGGTAGTTGACGTTCCTAGTGAGCACGATGTCCAATACATCCGGACGCTTCCTAGGGTCAGTAGGGATGTGCGTCGGTTCCTCGGGACCTAGAACGTCATAGTTCTGGCTTTCTGCGTCATCATATAGTTCACGACCCGGCGGATTGATCAGTCTTGATCCCCACGCCGGGTGTTTGGCCTTCAGGTCCCCGGCGATGATGGTGGATGTCGTACCTTCCATAACCGTCCGGATGTCTGAGGAGTAGAATGGAGTCCCTGGCGGGCGGTATGCTGCAAAAATCCTTAGTTCCTCGTCCGCCGCCCCCATTTTGCCGATTGAACGCATCATCTGGAAGTCTGGTAAGTCCAGTTCTTGGTGGACGATGTCTCTCCTCACCAGAATCGCTGTCCCTCTGTAAGCGATCCCTTGAGGATTGACCTCGTCCCTCCTGTAGATCGTATAGTTTGGCAGCTTAAGATGCGTTGATGGTCTAATTTTGGTTTCACCCAGCAAGATCACCTGGATGTCCTGCTGCTGGGCGACCGTGCGGAGTTCATGGATCCCTTGTTGGATCCCGTCCGGGTTCCAATAAAGCAGACGCAGGTTACTATCCTCCGTAGTGCTTTGCCAGTAGAGATTGCAGCGCCTTCATAACGGCGGTTACTGGGTCTGTCCCGGCCCTTATGTCGGCCAGGACTTGTGTACCAACCTCGATAGCTATGCCTACCAATCTATGGATGGCATCAGCTGTCTCGAGGCCGAACGTTGATGGTTTATGTTGTGAGGGCACTGTTCTCGGGGCGTTTGTGGTGGTCTTTTCTCTATATATAGAGCGCGCTCTCTGTGTGGAGTGTAGAGCGGGCTCTACTTTCTGGTAGAGCCCTTTCTGGAACTCTACCTGTCGTGTTTATTGGTGGTGGTCTCTCAGTAACCTGCGCCTGTGAGGCTATCGGTCCTGTCGTTGTAGGGGTAGAGGTAATCACAGCCTGAGGAGGGGGCTGTTCAGTCTTCCTGCACCTGTTCCTCTGCCTCTTCCTTTGGGAAGGTTGCCTCTCTGTGGCGTTGTTGGCAGGAGGTTGGAGAGTCGCCCCGGTGATTACCCTTTGTTCTATGGGTTCCACCGTTTCCATTGGTTTAGGAGGGGGTGGAACGGGGAGCTGGTTGCCTACCCTTCCCTCTGGTGACTGTGGTCGAAGTAGTCCACGCCCGTGCACTTAAAAGGAGAATATCCATGCATCAGCCTTTCCGCCGGTAAGTTGCCTGTTGGTATTTCTTGAGGTCTTGCTTTCCTTGTTTTGTACCATTGACATTGATGCTGAACCGCCTTGATTGCTGACCTTAGACCGAGTACCCAGAAGCGTTGTCGTATTTCATTCATCACCGTCGCGTGATTTCTATGATTGAAGTGGCAGTGGAATTCTTCTATGATGAGTTGTGTTGTCTTGTTCTTGCTGTCGAGCACGATGGGTCGTTTGTAGTCACACCCTGTTTCGCGTCGATTCTTCCTGTTAGGCGCAGGAGACCCTCTTCTTGTACTACGTCGATCCTTTTCAATTTACTGCTGCCCTCTAATTGCTTCCCTTGCTGAAGGCGCTTGATGTCTTCTCTGAAACTGTTGTCTTGGCTTCTTTTCAGCAAAAGAGTTTCAGCTTTCTCGAGTAGTTCGGTGTCCATCGGTATATATTTCCTTTCTGTTATTTTTGAAGATCTGTGTTGCTTCTCTACAGTCTTCGTTCCTTTTCTTTGTGTCATTTTCCAGGTGGCATCATTTTTGCAGACGTTGACCTTCTCCCTTTTTCTACAGAGTTGTAAGAACTGCAGTACTCTCGCTGTGACTCGCCAAAGCCTCTTCCATGAAGAGAATCTCTCCGGGTCTGGTGACGGATGAGATGTTTGTGTTGTTGCTTCGACGTCCGCTGCCCTTTCTTCGCCGGTGGTTGTTTTCTTGAAAGTTCTTGGTGCCGGCCAATGTGCCTCTTCTTTGTTCAGGAAGCTTGGTCCGGTGTACCATCAGTGGTTGCAGCTGAAGTCTTCTGGCACGTCGCGTGTTGCGTCATTTTCAGGATTCTGCGCTGTAGGCACCCATCTCCAGTCTTGCGGTTTGGTAAAGTCCTCTATCTCCGCTAAGCGATGAGCCACGAACGTCGTGAAGGTTCTCGGGTCTGTTTTTATCCAGGAAAGTACGATGCTGGAGTCTGTCCAAAATGTTTTCTTTGTTACTTTTAGGTCCAATTCTCCTTCAGCTGAATGAGCCAGTCTGCTTCCTAGGAGGGCTGCCTGTAGTTCGAGTCTCGGGATGGACACTGGCTTCAGTGTAGTGACTCTCGCCTTTGCTGCCACTAAGCTGACGTGGTAAGTTCCATCTTGCCCTTCTGTCCTCCAATAAACTGCCGTTGCGTACGCCAGCTCGCTTGCATCAACGAAAATGTGTAGCTCCCCCCTCGGTGCAATGAGGCGCCAGGCATCTCGGAACATGCAGGCCTTGCAGCAGCTTCATCTTCTCCAGGTAGGTTTTCCATGCTTCCTACTTCCTTTCTTTTATTTCGTCATCCCAACCGACGTCACTTCGCCATATGATGCTAAACCAAGCGGATCAAAGGTCGACATTACTGCGCTGGTAACTTCCCTTTTCGTAGGCACCTTGAGTACTCTTGATATTTCTTCTGGTGAATTTCGGAGGTGTGCCCTGAAGCCGATGGAGTCTCTTTTGGTGAACCAGCGCAGTCCTAATGTCTTCTCTTCCTTCTCGCCTAGGTCCACTTCTGTCTCTCAATAGTGTCGATCTTCACGTCTTGCAGCAGCTCGGATTGATTTGACGCCCATCCCCTGAGTTCGAAGCCTGCCTTCTTGTGTATGAAGTCCACCTGCATCGTCACTTTTCTAAAGTCTTCTTCTGAGTGGAAGCTGTGCAGGTAATCGTCCATGTAATGGTTTAGCTCGACCGCCCTTGCTGCCTCTGGATACTGCTCTTTGAAGTCCGCTGCGTTTCGGTTCTTCACATAGATTGCGGTGCTGGGAGATGATGTTGTGCCGAAGATAACCGATGTCATCCTGTACTCCTTTGGATGCACGTCGCGACGAGCCCCGCGCCACAAAAACCTCAGGCTATCTCTGTCTTCTGGTCGAATGCGAACTTGAAGAAACATTTCTTTGATATCGGCTGCCACAGCTAGCGGGCCCTGTCGAAACCTTAGTAGTATCCCGAAGAGCGACTGTAGTAGATCTGGTTCTGGTAGTAGAGCATCGTTGAGGCTTCTTCCCTTTGACTTGGCTGCAGCGTCGAAGATGATCCTTATCTTTTTCTTCACTGGATGTACTACGGAGAAGTGAAGGAGGTACCATCTTCTTGGAGTCCTTTTGTGTCATAGGTGCTTCTTCTGCATACTTGCTGTCGATAAGATGCTGGATCAGCTTGATATATTCTGCCTTCAGCTGAGGGTCCTTATCCATCTTCTTTTCAATATTGAACAACCGGTTCTTTGCAGACGAGTAGCTCTCAGGCATCTGTTCATCTTCATTTTTCCATAAGAGTCCAGCTTCGAATCGTCCATCTTCAAGTCTTCTGCAGGTTTTCTCTAGGATGGCGAGTGCTCTTCCTTCTGAGTCTGTGGTGGGTCTTCGTGGTTGCACACCAAGCGCCTCGATTGCAAAGTGGTTCTTGATGGCTTGATGCATCTCCTCATCTGGTGTGCTGACATGTAGACACGTGTTCATGAAGTGTACTACTCTTACAGCCCCGGTGTCTGATCCGTGGAGCACCCATCCAAGCCCTGTCCTTGAAGCAACTGGTTCTCCTGGTTTCCCTTTCCTTACTTCTTGAGTCACTATCAGCTCCCAGTTGTCTTGACCGATGAGCAGCTGTAGTGATTCCCCTTTATAATAAAGAGAGTCGGCGATCTACTTCAAATATTGGCATTCTTCTATTCTTTTCTTCTCTAGGACCTGTGGTGCAAGCTTCAGCTCGTTGATAGTTCGGACTCTCTTCAAGATTTTCTTACTTCCTTGATGTACCCCCTTCACTACAAGGTCCAGCGTCTGAGAATCCTTCTTCTTGATTTGCCTGCCTCCTACTGTCTCGATGATCAGGTCCTCTTTGTTGCCTTGAGCGCCGACTTCTTCTGCCACCTTTGCATCAATAAGCGACACTGTCGACCCTTCATCCATGAGGGCCAATATTCTTTTGGATCCTTTTGGCCCGAAGACTTCTACTGGAACTATCTTTAGGTATGTCCTTGCATTGTTGACTGCATTCACTGATGTCATGACGCTTGTTACTTCTTCTTGTGTTTCCGCCTTTTTCTCTACCGAGGTCGTATTTTCCGATTCGACGTGCAGCAAATGTTGATGCCACCTCTTGCATTCCTTACACGGTGGTTTCTTGCAGGTCTCCTTTCGATGTTTTCCTTGAAGACATTTGAAGCAAACGTGACTTTTCTTTACTGTTGCCCATCGATCTTGCACTGACGTCTTCTAGAACTTCTGGCAGTCGACGAGGAAGTGTCCACCTTGGCACATAGGGCAAGTCTTTTCTGTTGACTGTCTTGTATCTTTCTCTTTAAAGTCCTTTTCCCTCGTAGAATGCGTCGCTTGTCGATGAGTTCTTCTGAACCCGCTCTTCTCTTCTGAGGTCGCGAAGGCTCCACATTTGTCTGCTTCGCTGTTCAGGAACTTGGAGACCATCGTCAGGTTCTCCCTCTTCTGTTGCTGCCGTAAAGTCATACCATCGGAACTTCAGGATTGTAGGCATTTTTTCTATAATTTGCTTTACCATTTCAGGTGAATGCAGGTACTGCGGTTTCTTCAAACCCTTTATTGCTGCTACGCTGTTGTTGATTTGGCTCGCAAAGACGCATATATCTTGGATTTTCGGAAATCTTTGGTAACGCCCTGACTTTGTCCAATTCAGCCAGCACCAGCGCATCAGGTCTTCCATATCGTCTCCTGAGGGCCTGCATTACTTCCAATGGAGAGGCTTCAGAGTACAGCAGGCTCTTGATAGCTTCTCTTGCGTTGCCCTTTAGTGCTCTTCTTAGTCGAGCCATGTTTTGGACTGCGTTGAACATCGGGGCGGTATCTTCGTAGACCACCTTGAAGGCCAACCACTCGCTGCTGTTGCCATCGAAGTAGGGTAGTGATAAATAAAAAGCGTGCGTCGAGTACAGGCATTTATTTGGACTGACGACGGAAATACAATGCGCGCTTACCGGCTAAAACTCCCCACTACATTTTATAATATGTTTACCCTTTTTTTAATAAGTCATAAAGAGGGGTAATATGAGTACTTAAATTTTTTATAAATTTCCCATAGAAATTAACCATGCCTAAAAACGATTTTAATTCCGATATATTAGTTGGATGAGGCATACCTAAAATAGGCTTTAACTTTTCCGGGTTGACTCGAACACCCTTGTTACCTATTATGAATCCCAAATATTTTACTTGGGGAGCCATAAACTCAAATTTTTCTTTTTTTCTTTTTAATTCGTTAGTTTCCAAGATACTAAATACTTGTTCTATACTTTTTAAGCGCGAATCCCACGATTTACTTTTTATTAGTATGTCGTCGTAAAACACAACCACGTCCAGCACATTTTTAAAGAGATTTATCATTATCTTTTGAAAAATTCCGGGACTAGAAGCGAGACCATACACTAGGCGGTTGTATTTGAACAGTCCTCTATGCGTATTAATAACAGTGTAGTTTCTAGACGTTTCATTTAAAATTAACTGATTATATGCTTGTGAAAGATCAAGCTTGGTGAAGTAACGATTACCACTCAAACCACTAAATAAATCTTCTATTTTTGGAACCGGGTACCTATCGACCAACAAATGTTTGTTCAGTGTCACCTTATAATACGCGCACAGCCGTATTCCGCCGTCCGCTTTCCTCGCTATAACCAACGGCGTGGCCCAGTCCGAGCGGTCCACCGGCTCGATGACGGCTGCGCGCAGCATCGCGTACAACTCTGCATCCACCCGCGGGAGTAGCGCGTACGGCACGGGCCGCGTGCGGCAATAAATCGGCTGCGTTCCCTCACGCACGTGCAGCTTGACCTCTTCAGCAGTATACTTGCCCAATGTGCCGTCAAATAGAATCTCATGCCTGGAGATAATATCATTAAGCGAGTTATTTTTACATGGTACCATATTATGTATTTCTGTACACTTACTTAGCTTAGGTATTTCTACATATGCAATTCAGACAGCCACTGTCTCCCTAATAAACTAGTGCTACCCTTATTTATTACATATAAATCTAACTGTTTTACATTATTATTATACTCAACATTTGTCTCCAGGTACCCTATCGGATAAAAAGCTGAACCATCGTAAAATTTTAATTTTAATTTACATAACTTATACAAGATATGCCGTGTAGTGGCGGTTAAGAATATCCACTACCCCATATCTTCCCGTGGGTGTCGTAAGAGGCGACAGAGGGAGACAGGCAGGAGATGGGCAGCAGCATCTTCCTGATAACAGCAACTGTACGACAAAAAAAAACTGCGGTTGCCAATCCGCTCGCCAAGCATGGCAACTATGGCAATATACCCCCCATGAACAATTACACAAATAGACGGCCCACAGTCCCCGGCGGCCCCGCTATTCCTGGCTACGGTGGCGACCATGGTAACGGCGGGGCAGGGGGTGCTAAGAATCTCCGGTGGAGGTTCGGTTGCCACCTACGACGACTCGACCTGGCAACATTTAACGCACGCACACTGAGAGACGAGAAGATCCTGGAGCTGGAAGAAGAGATAGACAAGTTGCGCTGGAGTATTATAGGATTATCCGAGGTCCGAAGAGAGGGGGGAGGACACGGTGATTCTCGAATCCGGCAACTTGTTCTATCACCGGGAGGGCGACCATCTGTCCCAAGGAGGTGTCGGATTTATCGTCCACAAGTCTCTCGTCAACAACGTTGTACAGATTGAGAGTGTGTCGACGAGGGTCGCGTACCTGATACTCAGAATCACCAAACGGTATTCGCTGAAGGTCATACAGGTTTACGCACCAACGTCGGCACATTCCGATGAGGAGGTGGAGGAAATGTATGAGGATATTTCCAAAGCCATACATTCCTCCAAAACCCACTACACGGTGTTGATGGGAGACTTCAACGCAAAACTAGGCACAAGAGAAAGCGGTGAGCTGAAGTTAGGGAAATTTGGAGTAGGGCAACGGAACCGAAGGGGCCAGCAGCTGGCCGACTTTATGGAGAAAGAGGGACTCTTTATGATGAACTCTTTCTTCCAGAAGCGGCCCCACAGGAAGTGGACCTGGTCGAGCCCCGACGGTTCGACAAAAAATGAGATTGACTTCATTATGACGACCAGACGCCAACTGTTCAGTGATGTCTCAGTGATCGCAAGGGTGAAAACTGGCAGCGATCACCGAATGGTTAGAGGCACACTGAACCTAAACGTTAAGTTGGAGAGGTCTCGTCTAATGAAGTCAACGCTCCGTCCCCCTCGTGCTCTGATCCAAAATCCCGAAAACTTTCAGCTCGAGTTACACAACCGCTTTCAATGCCTACAAGATTGCAATGCAGTGGACGATATGAATGACAAGCTCGTGGAAACTGTCCATGCGGTCGGAGCTAAGTTCTGCAAGACCCGCCGCAGAAGAACACAAAAACTCTCCGATCACACTCTTAATCTCATGGCTGTTAGACGGGAGATGAGGCTGCAATCGTCAACAGATTTGACAGCATACAGGCAACTGAACAGACAGATCTCCAAATGCATGCGGCGAGACTTACGCAACTTTAATACTGCTCGTATTAAAGAAGCGATCGAGCGGAACCAGGGCTCCAAAGTCTTTGCCAGAGATATGTCTGCCAGAAAGAGCCAACTGTCAAGGCTGAAGACTGAGTGTGGCAGCATCGTTTCCGGGACACCTGAGATTTTGAGTGAGATTGAGAGGTTCTATGGGCAGCTGTACACATCATCGTTGGAGCCACACGCAAGTGTGAGTAACGATCCAAGAGCAAGTCTTATCCGACACTATTCCGAGGATATCCCGGACGTCAGTCTAAGCGAGATTAGAATGGCTCTCCAGCACCTTAAAAACGGCAGGGCCCCAGGCGAGGATGGAATTACAGCGGAGCTTCTGAAAGCGGGTGGAACACCGGTACTTGAAGTCCTTCAGAAGCTCTTCAATTCCGTCCTCCATGGTGGCACTACTCCAGAGGCGTGGAGCAGAAGTGCGGTGGTCTTGTTCTTTAAGAAAGGCGACAACGCTCTCTTGAAGAACTACAGACCGATTTCCCTTCTGAGCCGCGTCTACGTGCTGTTTTCGAGAGTCATTACGAATCGTCTCGCACGCAGACTCGACGACTTCCAGCCTCCCGAACAAGCCGGTTTCCGAAAAGGCTTCAGTACCATAGACCACATACATACCCTGCGGCAGATTGTACAGAAGACTGAAGAGTACAATTTGCCACTTTGCCTGGCGTATGTGGACTATGAGAAAGCCTTTGATTCCGTCGAAATTTGGGCGGTGCTGCAGTCCCTTCAGCGGTGCCAAGTTGACTATCGGTATATCGAAGTGCTGAAGTGTTTGTACAGTAGGGCTACGATGGCTATCCGAGTACAGAACCAGAGCTCGAAACCTATCCAACTGCAGAGAGGTGTAAGACAGGGTGACGTTATATCCCCGAAACTCTTCACCGCTGCTTTGGAAGACGTTTTCAAGCTACTGGACTGGAAAGGATACGGTATTAACATCAATGGCGAGTACATCACTCACCTTCGATTTGCCGACGATATAGTCCTTATGGCAGAATCGCTGGAGGACTTAAGCACTATGCTCAATGACCTCAATAGTGCCTCCCAACGGATAGGTCTTAAGATGAACATGGACAAAACAAAGATTATGTTTAATGTCCATGTCACACCTATGCCGGTAGTTGTTGGGAGCACTATGCTCGAAGTTGTTGACGAGTACGTTTACCTGGGACAAATATTCCGACTAGGTAAGTCCAACTTCGACCGAGAGGTCAATCGACGGATTCAACTCGGCTGGGCAGCGTTCGGGAAATTACGACATATCTTCTCGTCAGGTATACCTCAATCTCTGAAAACTAAAGTGTACAACCAGTGCGTGTTGCCAGTGATGACTTACGGATCAGAGACGTGGTCCTTCACTGCTGGCCGTATGAGGACGCTCAAGGTCGCTCAGCGAGCTATGGAGAGGGCTATGCTCGGAGTTTCTCTGCGTGATAGACTCAGAAATGAGGATATCCGCAGTAAAACCAGATTGACCGACATAGCCCAACGGATTAGTAAGCTGAAGTGGCAATGGGCCGGCCATATAGCTCGAAGAACCGATAACCAATGGGGAAGAAAGGTTCTCGAGTGGCAGCCTCGTACCGGTAGGCGTAGTGTAGGGCGACCCCCCACTAGATGGAGTGACGACCTGGTAAGATATGCAGGAAGTCGATGGATGCAGGTGGCTCAGGACCGTGCTTTGTGGCATTACTTGGGGGAGGCCTATGTTCAGCAGTGGACTTGTGAAGGGCTGTGATGATGATGATGATGATGATACAAGATAATCCCAACCCTGTATCGACTTCCATTTTTAAGGGTTTATTATTTATAATTATGTACATACACACCGGTCTATACTTTGCTAAAGACATCTAATACATCGGTTCCTCGCCATCATCAGACGCGTTCTGATCATCCTCAGAGACGTCCACCGGTCGCCGGCCCGCTCAACCAGTGCGCCGCACCGGCCGCAGCGTGGGTGCCCGCGCTAGCGCTCGCTCGAGCAGACATCCGCATACCACGTGACGCCGCCGGCCTCGCTCCGCGGCGCTACTTCCCACCGACCGCGCTGTGGCCGAGCGCGCGAATCCTTCGTGACCTTCCTCGCGCACCGTTTGAATTTGAATTATCCGATGTCATACGACGATCGAATTCCTTCTTCATGCATATCCCTCTTCGCAAATGGCCTTTTTTCCCACAGTAACTGCAATCAAAATTTTTATACCTGCAGTTTTGTGAGCTATGTTCGTCGCCACCGCACGCTGAACAATTTCTGTTTCCTAACTTATGTATCTTCTCGCTAAGTTCCCGGTCCGGATCTTGTTCCCGCGAGCCCTCCACAGCTCCCACATCCCGCTCGGCTGCCTCTAGGGTATTAGCTAACTGTAGCGCTTTTTTATAATCAAGATCATTTTCTGCAAATAACCTCTGTCGAATAAACTCACTCCGCAGACCGCACACAAACTGATCTCGTAGGTTTTCCTCTAAGTTAGTTTTAAACTCGCAATATCTAGCCATCTTTTTCAAGTCCGCCACGTAGTTCGCTATCGATTCGCCTGCTACTTGCCGTCTTTGACGAAATCTGTACCGTTCTGCCAGGATTGATGGTGTCGGATGCAGATGTGTACGCAGTAGATCCACCGCGACCGCATACGATAGGCTTGACGGCTTCTTAGGACTCGCCAACGTAGACAACAATTCATATGTTTCTTCACCGATGAGCTCGATTAAAGTTGGTAACTTCAAATCGTCCATTATTTTGTTAACCACAAAATACATTTCTAACCGATCCACATATGCTGACCAGTTGCCGGTTTTCACATCAAAGTCCTTGATTTTGCCTACAGACATTGTTGCGACTATTGTCTACGATACGATCAAACAAAATTGTTCCACACCGAACCAAGTTTTATCCTCGTCGCCACTAATAAATAAAAGGCGTGCGTCGAGTACAGGCATTTATTTGGACTGACGACGGAAATACAATGCGCGCTTACTGGCTAAAACTCCCCACTACATTTTATAATATGCAACAGGTAGCTCGTGGATATACTTTGGCTGAGCTACTGGTCCTCCTCTTGTGGTAAGGGCTTCCTTCAATGCTATCGTCAGCGCTTGAATTTCGCTCGTATCTTTTTTCGTTGAGGAGTTCTCTTCAGGATTCACATTTAGCTCTTCCGGAGGGTGCTGACCTCGTTGCTCGTGTTTTCCCACGTTGTTTTCTTCCATTACTGATGTCTCGATCCAGTTCTGCACCTGTGCTGTTCTGTCTTCCTGGTCTTCATCCACGGAGTCCTCCTCTTCACATTGTGCCAGCTCTAATCTGACGCGTGCTAGCTTCGCCGCAGCTTGACTGCTTCATCGTGAGGGACCTCGTGGTCTTCATGGACCTGGCACGACGACTGACCCCCTTTGGCTTAAGGGTTGTGGCAGAGCCATGAACGCCCTTGTCTGGAATATCCTCTGGAGTCTTCTTGGTCGTCTCCTTCTGTGCGGCTTCATCCTTCTGTCCGTTATCCTCGGACGCCGCCGTGGTGGCAGTTGCAACCGTAGTCTCTGTCGTAGTGGTATCCTCTGTGGTCGTAGTACCTGAAGAATCTGACGTAGTTGCTGTTCCTGATGATGCTGACTCTGAAGAAGACGTGACCCCTTCTGATCCCGACATTTCACCTGTCGCGTCCTTATCTGACGGACGGGACCCGGGACTTGAGGAGGCATTCTTCTGTGACGGATTCTTCTATATACTTCTAGCAGGGATCCGGATTTCGAAGGACCAACTGTTTCGGACGGCAGGGACACGTCCAGTGCCCGCAGTCGCCCTGGGACAATCTCCCACTTGATGACGTACGTTCCTTGCTTAGTGCTGGTGACGCACGTCCCACGCACCCCTGAATGCGTATGTATAATACGACCCCACTGGGACCTCGAGAGAGAGAGAGAGAGATAGACGATCAGCCGGGAGGAGGCAATTAAAACACTTTTTTTCCTAGGTAGATTCTTGTTCCTTAGGTTTCGGCTTCCTTTTTTCTTGTTGTTGTAGCCTCTTCGACGGCTGTGCTGCGACTGCGATTTGAGCTTCGTATTGTCATCTGCACAGACTGCTTGGGTCCTGCAGGTCTCGGGCCTCGGGGTAAGCCCCTATTGCCCGGATTGTCCTCGCGGTCCACTACTATGGACCGGTCCTGGGAGCCTTATTCAGGCGTTGTAAGTTGAAAAATCGGGTTTAGTCCGTAATTGGTAAAGTTTTTCGTAGTCGGTTAAGACTACGAAAAAAGGAGGTTGTCTTGAGGTGTCAAAGTTGGCCTATCTGCGGCATTGTGGGTTGTTACTTGACTCTCTAATCGATATAGAGAGGAGTTCTCTTGGATAGGGTCGCCCGTCCGGAGGGCGAGTGTGTAGCGGCGCTAGGTTGTTAAGATGTATATGTGGCCCGTTGTCTGCACGGTCGAACAGTCCGCGCGCCAACCGGGCCACAAACTCCTGGATGGTTTCAATTTTGAGGTCGGCCGCTATGACCCGCTCCGACAATGGTTCTTAACATCAAATTTTGCCGGGCCTACAGTCGCCGCCTCAGAGGCTCGCTCAGAAGCGCGTACCAGGCCGGAGCAGCGTATGTGATGATAGGTCTTATATCTTTATATCTTCACTTTGTTAAGTGGCAGCTTGATGCCAGGACCGGAATCCCCCGCGCACATCATGCTCTGCGGACGACGAAGTCGACGTGCGCAGTCACGCGCAGCGCCCTGCACGCGCGTAATGCAAACTTTAAACTTTACATCGTTTGACCCAGCAATTAAATTAAAACTCTCTCTTGATCGAACCAATTTAACACTCATTTCAACACCATTAATTAAAAATTTATCTTGGTTGAAAATGTCACCGTAAAGATGACCAATCATTTCTATTTCCTTACTTTCACTAATCAATTCCTGTCTTTTAACAAATCCTATGTTTTTACCATCCGTAGAATACATTTTTTCTGCTGTATCATCATACCAAAGACTACAAGTAAGATGAGATTGTTTAGCAGCAGGAGCATAGTTTAAAAGGGTTTCCATGTATGCTCGATATGCATATGTATTATTAGGTGGTGATACAAGTTTTTGGTTTAAATGAACATCAAGTTGACTAAAAAGTGAATGCAGCCAATTATTTACAGGTGCTACTATTGTAGTAGATATCAAGTTAGTTGAATCTTGATTTAATACTTTTGCCTTTATGTGGAGTAATGGATGAGACAAATCTATGTAGTCATCGCCTGTCCCACGGAACTTGAAACTCGATAGGTCCATCATCACCAAGAGATGAAATTGGTTTATAATGAATCCACAATCCATTTTCAATGCTAGTTTGTGTAGGTGGTAGTGCAAACAAATCCAATTCTGACTTAACGCACTCGCAAGAATGATTATGAAGGAAAGACATATTTAATTTGAAAATATATCTTTGATATTTTTTGGTTTGAGACCAAGTTTTTTCGTAGCTTTCACTTTAGCCGTTAATGGTGGAATGAACGGAGTCAATCGTTTTCTTTTAGTTTTATACCCAGATCCTGTCATGTTAAATTGATCAATTTTCTCATCAGCCTTTCGTTTTAAATTCGTACTAACTTGCTTTAGACGATCTTTTATTAAGGCTTCCATAGGACGCGCTTGAACCATATCCGATAAAAGTCCTACTCCAGCGCTTAATGCCTCCTTACCAATCACTCGAGCACCACTTGAAAATAAAGGTAAAACTGATCTAAATAACCCCCCTAAGAAGCTCCCAATTCCATCACCGCGTTGGTATGGTGAACCCTTATAAATTACTCCAACTCCTGACCCAGCTTGATGTGTATAATAATTTTCATATGGACATTTATGATGATCACGAAGAGAATTCATTATTATAATTTTCGGAAATGTAGTTTAACACACACGGTTCCAAACTGGAATGGTATTTTTTGTCCTGTGCTCGATCTTATAACTATTTCCAGCGTATCGAACTCTCTTCGCATAACAGGTAAGTAGTGAGGTTGAGAGAAAACGTGCATTTTATTTGCACCATAAATGTATTTTGTAGGATCTAATGAAATGACTCTTAGTAAAGGAGTCATAACATCACCCACAATCTGAGGATCGATAATGTCGCAATATAGAAATAGTTGAGATGGTAACCCTAAGTGTAAATTAGCAGGACACTTTCCAAAATTTCTCTCTAGGAGATTTTTATTTGGTTCATAACCTAGTTGTAAACTTAATTTGGGTGATAATGTTACGGATGTTATATTTTTATCCAAAACAGAAATAGACACAAATTTTGTTATTTCATCACATAGCGAAATTTCAAGTTCTCTCCGATACCATTTAACACTCCTAAAATATGTTCAAGGTTATCATAGTTGGTAGCTGGAATATGTTTTTTGTAGTACACTATGGATGGTTTACCTTCATTAGTCATTAGCATAGATTTTGTAATGTATGTAACATTTTCATGATCTTGAACAGTAAACATGGTACATGGATATTGAAACTACACAATTCCAACCGACCATTCACCTTCTAATTTAATAGCTTTTGGTAATTTCGTTGAAAAATTTGTGGTCACGTTATCAGGAAAGTATTCCATTGAACTATTGCTGAGCAAAGTTAAATAAAAACTTTCTTTATTCATATTTCTTTTAAACTAGAAGCTAAAATCCAACTGTTAAATTTATCTGGATAACCTTTCCACTTCACTAATACTTCTTTTCTGTTACCTGAATAACGAGTGTCAATTATTTTATCTATTTTATATTGTGAGGTGGGGTTGTAAGTGATTTTCTGTAATTCTCTTTCATAAAAAGTACCAACTATTGGTTCATTTTGTAAATCTGTTATTGTATAAACAACCCATGGAGATCTATCAATATTGAAGATATAATAAATATTTCATCACTCCAATTTGATTCATATCCTTTTTGGAAAACATGTTTATATTTAGTTATTCGAACATAATCACCCACATTGAAATTTGGTTTAGGATTTTCTAATGAAAGTTTGTTTGACCGTCTATCATAAAGATTAGTCCAAACTGTCATAATATTGTTGGAATTTACATCACATGGGCACATCTTAATACTAGAGTGAAAGCTGTGATTATAAGAGTGTATTAAATCTTGTAAAACATCTATATATCTATAAGTATTATTATGAGTGAAATAACGCCACATTTTCATTTTTAGTGTTCTTTGAAATCGTTCAACAATACTGGCCTTAATGTCAGGATTGTTAGTGGTATAGTAATTAATCTTTTTTGGATTTAAAGTATTTTTGTACATCTTTTGAAACAAATTCTGTACCTTTATCAGATTGTATGTGAGTAGGTGTTAAATTACTTTCAGTAAATATACTTTCAAAACATTCTTTAGTTGTTTCTGAGTTTTTCTTTTTCATTGGTCTTGCAAAAGCATATTTACTAAATACATCAATAACACAAAGTACATACTTGAAACCATCATTATATTGAGAATAAGTTCGCATATCACTTAAATCAGCTTGCCACATTTCATTAATATTTGATAGAATGTACCTATTACGCGGGAATTTTTTTCGAATCGGTTTATGTAATGTGTATGTTTCTTGTGATTTTAACCATTCCTATACTTGCTTTTTATTCATTTTACCCTTCATGGCTTTTGATAATTTATCAATACTACCAAAACCAGCGGGATTAGATGGATCATAATAAATCCTGTTAATTTCTTCTAGTACGGGGTCCATTTTTCCCACTCAAGCCTTTTACGTATTTTAGTTGTAGACTTTTTATCTCTACTGCTCGGTGTAGAAAACTCTTGAAATTCAATCTCAGATGGTTTGTCCAGATCTTTTGCTTGAAGTTGGTTAATAAACTCACATCAGTTTGGATTTCCAATATAAGTAAGTGGTACTTTAATATCTTTTAATGCTTCAGCAAATCTATCCCACCCTACTGGATCACTTCTTTTTAATGGTCTTAGTGAATCATTTATTAAATCAACAATATTACTTCCAGGAATTTTTTCATAATCAATTATGACTGCACCTTCATTATCCCAGTGTATTTTAACTTTACTTGTTTCAACTAAGTTTAATAATAACTGTCCTTTTTTATTATAAGTTTTTGGTATTAAACTGAGTATTTGAGCTGGTGTGTAAAGTGGATTTTCAACATTTTCTTTACTTTTAATGGATCGATTCTCCTCCAGCAAAGATTCAGCATCAACTGAAGTTTTTAGATCTCTATCTTTATTTCTAAAATCAATTTTAGACTCATTTGAATCTTCATTAGATGTATTATAATAAATTGGTAATCTGAGTGGTTGACGATCCTCTTCGGTAAAATGAAGGTATCTTTGCAGTGTTTGTAAATATAACATCCATTTCTTTCGGTCTTCCATCTTACTATTCATAATATTTTGCATTTCAATATCTAATCGAGATAAACTACACTCGTATTAACCTTATTTTCTTGTTTTAATTTTTCAATCAATCCAGGTTCGATAAGTATCATTTTCTTTGCATTTTCCATGTTAACTGGCTAGTCCACTCACTAATCCACTCAATATTGTACCTAATATTATTGGTAAGAAAGCCCCTCCTTTTTGTATAATTATATTTTTTCTTAGTTTATGTTTACACTTACGCACTAGTTTACGAAGTATAT